ATATCTATTAACGGTAGGCCTGAGTTGTTACAAATGGTATCAGAGCCCAACACTGGACGATGTGTCAGCCTTCTCGCTCTTCCTCAAAAGGGATAGACACTAGGGGGTGTGTTAATAAGGACGCTAGGTCTCGAAGGGGAGTTGATTGTGATGTCCCACGTTGATTGGGGAAGAGAACAAAACACCCTTTATAATAAGGGTGGGGAAGCCGGAAGGGAAAGTCTGCTAGCAGGGAGCCTGTTTTATATTTTCTTATTTATTTATTGTTATTATTTTGAATGTGCAATATTTTATCATATTTTGACTTTTAATGATGGACATTTTCTCTTTACGACTTTCAAAGATTGCATTTCCTTTTCCTATTTCGTTTTCTTATAAATAATTTGATTTTGACACATTTTGTTTTGTTTATATTTTTGTTATTTTCTTGTGACATTTGTGGCTCTAATGTACGTTTGGACTTATCATTAGTTGAACGTTGAATTTTCCTTATTTATCTGGTCGGCAATCACATTTCAAACACTACTTTTTATACGACGTAATAGATTTTTTTTTTTTTTTTTTAATATTGAATCGATTAAGAAACAAATTTTTTAATATAACATTGATGGTGAAAATACAATTTTATATCTTAATCATTTGAGTTGTATACTCACGCAGATGAAAAATAATTGTTTATCTTATTATGACGACATCAAATCAATCTAAGTATTGTTTGATGGGCATGACTATCTCGAATTATAAATTTGTGTTTAATTATTTACTTCTAATGTTCTTAAAAAGGATGGAATAAGGGTTGAAATTTACACATAATAAGTATCGAAAAGGGTGGAGTGCATATGCAATCATGTTATATTTCACTTGAGTCATACAAAACTCGAACGAGTGAAAATTACAAGTGCATGAGGCAACAATTACGGGCAAGTGTCGCATTGTTGATGATTTTACTAGAGCATATTCCATTTGGGTTGAAACATATTTGGATCGTTTTTGTTACTGTTTTATTTAGCTTCTCGTCTTTAATAATCATAAACATTTTCAACTAATCTTTTACCTTATTGTAAGTCTTATCTTTTCGTAGAATATTTTATTATATTTTTGTTTGTAAATATTATATTAGATTTTTGTTTACACTTTTTTAATAAAAATTAAATTACATGAAAAAAAAACTAATTTAAAAAAAATGAAAAAATGAAAAAAAAAATACCCATGAAAAACTTTTACTCCAATTTCTAACCTAAAAAATGAAATTAATTTGATTATTAATCCTCCTTTGCTTCCATAAATGACTATATAAAAACTTGTCTAGCATTATTTTGAAGTGCAGAATCAAGCCATAAACATTTTGTATTTGCCGAGAGGCAATTGAGAGAAACTTTTGTTGAGAGACTTTTGTAGTGAGGGCTATGAGAGATCACTTATAAACACTTTGGTTATAGTGATTGGCTACCCACGTAAATCTCTGTCTCTTTGTTTAAATTCTATTCGTGGGTGTGTGAGTGTAGTCTATCTTGCTTCCGCTTTTGTTACAATAATTGGGTATCAAAACATTTTGGTTGTGGCATTCCGCTAATAATTGGGTATCAAAACATTGAAGGTTCTAGCATTTCAGCGCACAACAAGTGGTATTAGAGTCTAACGGTAGCATTTGGAATATTCTGAAAAATTTAAGATCATTGAGCACGTCGATAAATTTATCTCCGAGGATTTAACAAACCATTTATTATAATCTAGCTAAAGAGATATATATATACAGCAAAATGTCTGTGCAGCCACGTGGTATACATAACGTACGCTGTCGTTTAGCATGGCTGTAAAATTAGTGGAACATTGAAATCTGAAATCCCATAAATAATTGGTCTTTTGTTTAATACATTTGTTACAGCTACACCCTCAAATTTATATTCATTACAATTATTGATTCCTTCTTACATCATTACAGTAAAGAGTGGTTGGGTGTTCTTGAAATTCTCATTCTTATCTCCCAATCTTCAAACCCTTTGCCTTTCTCACCTTATTTTAATTATTTACTCTCCCAATTTTTTTATTTTCTCCTATTTTCAATGCATACGTAAGTCGTGCTCGATCTCAATTAGTTAAAGAGAAGAAGAACGAAATATCCTTTATAAGCGTGTGAAAACCCGTGTTTTAAAAACTTTGAGGAAAAACTCGAAAGGAAAAATTTAAGGAAGATAATATCTGTTAGCCGTGGGCTTGAGCTATTTTATATATTGTTTCTGCTTTTGTTTTATAAGTCTTAGTTGCTCACTCTGACCGCCAACGATTAACCTAATTGTCCAATGAAACTGTCCTATGACATTGAATATTGTCATAGTTCTGGAAAAATTCCTGTGTGTTAGGATTGCACAACAACGCACATATTCGATCAAAATGAACACAAAGAACAGGAGAGAGAAAATTCAAGGAATAATATTAACTAGAAGTTTTATTATTACTTCAGTACATCGATAGAGAATACAGAGAATGAACATAATTTGAAACCCGTAAATTCCAATATTCTACTGTTATAATCGAGATGAAGCATTTGACTCCTTCATACATTTCATAGATCTTGGGATTTTCTGTTCATGAATTAACTAATCTTTCTTTACTCTATAATATTCTAGATTCCGAGATCTATGAACAGGGATACTGGATCGTATATGAAAATAATCTTGCAAGACTATTGGATATATATATGATTTCTGTTTACTAAATACAACAATAACAGATTTAATCACCTACAAAATATAATCTACTAAATCAAATATCTACCATATATATCTCTATTACCAAATCTTTACGAAATATCTGTCATACAATTGAAGAGTTTGTTTGGGTGATTACGGGGGACATAATGAGTAAATAAGGAAGGTTGGTAGGATTGCATGTGATTATATATATGTTGAACTTCAAGGGTCTTGTGCCATTGGGAAAGAATAGACAATTTCCAAAAGAAAACAGGGAAGTTGTGAAGAAGCAATAGATACAATGGGCGATGGTGGGCGATGGTGGGCGATGCTAGTTTCATCTCCTTTTGCCTCAAATGTTTGACCCATTTTTTATGGATAGTTTGGTTGGAGATTTGGGAGCCTTTTACACAAAGAATAACTTGATGATGTACTAATTGAATGGGCATAACATGGATCTAACTAACAACACTAAATCAACCGTGACCATATATTCTCTTCTTTGAAATTTCCTTCTCCTCAAGGTTTTTAAAACACGTCTGCTAAAGAAAGATGAAAAGGTTTGCACATCTTATAATCCACCATTCCTTGGTTGCCACAACTTTTATTTTCTTTTATTATGAGGTGTGGAAACCTTTATTTAGCGAATGCATTTTAAAAACCATGTGGAAAATTCGAAAGGGAAAACCCAATCAGGACAATATCAACTATCAGTGGTCTAGGACTATTACAGATGGTATCAGAGACAAACATCAAGCGGTGTGTTAGCGAGGACGTTGGGCCAACAAGAGGGGGTGGATTGTGAGTTGTGAAAACCTCTCCCTAGCGGACACGTTTTAAAAACCTTGAGCGGAAACCTAAAAGAGAAAATCCAAAGAAAACAATATCTGTTAGTGGTGGACGTGGGCACAAACGATATCAGAGGCAAACATCAAGCAGCGTGCTAACAAGGATGCTAGGCCCCCAAGAGGGGTGGATTGTGAAGGTGTGGAAACCTCTACTTAGCAAACACGTTTTAAAAACCTTGGACAGAAGCTTGGAAGGGAAAGCCCAAAGAGGACAATATGTGTTAGTGCTAGGCATGAGCTGTTAGAAATGATATTAGAGCCAGACATGGATGATGTGCCAGTATATAACCAAGAGAATAACAACAACGGCTCACAGTATATAACCTTAGGTAGGGGGATATGACTAGTTGTCAACTTCTCCCTACCCAAGGTTATATACTGTGAGCCGTTGTTACTCTCTTTCTTGCTTATATAATGTCTCTTTCAAAAATCTCTCTCTGCCTTCATTTTCTAAAACCTTCTCTTAAACCGAGGTCAGAGGCTCGAGCAAACGTTACTTGGCCGTAGGCAACGTAAGAACGAATTGGCTTAACTCACTTGTCGTTGGAAAGTGAGTGCCGCACAATCGCAAGTCCGCTGCCATCAAGAGTGTGATTGTGACACTAGACATGGGCTGTTATAAATGATATTGAGCCGGACAAGGACGATGTGTCAGCAAGGACGCTAAGTCCCTAAGAGGGGTGGATTGTGATATCCCACATCAGTTAGAGGGGGAACGAAGGATTCGGGTGAGAAAACTTCTCTCTAAGAGACCCATTTTAAACTTAGGGAAGGTCCAAAAAGAATCTTATCTACTAGCTAGGAACTTGTAGACTATTATATTTTATGATAATTTTGTAGTCCAATAAAGAAGGATAATTATGTTACTAAGTGTTCAGCTATTTTTATGGAATAAAATGTTAAATTTGGTTGTGAGAGAATTGTGTTGCATCTATACTTCAATTTGTGTGTTTTTTGATTTAACTAAACAAACGATATATGGAGTTAAAAACCATTATTATACCATTTCATGCTACCAAGTTTTGGTGAAACATTTATGTTCATCTTAATTGCACCGACATTAATAAATATATCATATATGTTTTGATTCGCAAAAGACAACAGCTCCAAACCTCACCAAAACTCATGCACATAATGTCAATTTAAATCTGACATCATTGCAAACCAGCGGATGACACTAGGTTAGTTGTCAACTCTGAATTGACATCATAGCTAACTTTCATCATATAATAACAATAAAATTGTACTCGATAAAAGTTCTAAACTGTCATCGTAGCTAAAAGTTTTTGTACATGTATAACAACATATGTTTTGATGATGGTTTTGAACTTTTATCATTGCATAACCGTCATCTTACCCCATAATGATAGTGAAAAAGTTCGTATATAGGTCGATGATAGTACAAACTGACAACATATTTATTAAAACAAGCTCATTTTGTACCTGAACGATACGGTACGACTTTTTTATAAAATTTAACTAAAAAAAATTAGTGGATCATAAGTTTAGAACACAACAAATGCAATCTTTTCATGCATCAATCACACACGCTCAATTACAAACACATTGGACTGTTAGTTAATAATCCAAACACCTCTATATTATTTGCACTTTCCCCCTTAGAGACCATAATAGTGTGATGAAGTGGATATGGTTGGAAATTTCTCCAAAACTTGCAAGCATTCCTTCATGGATGGTCTCTTTTGTGGGTTAGGTGATGCACAACTATATCCTAATTTAAAGCAAGACAACAAAGCTTCTTCTTTCCCCTCCATCTCACCTCGAATCGCCATGTCAGTCATTTTTAGGGCTCGACTCTTATCTTCAATTGCAAGTCCAAGTACCTGGCTCAACTCATCCAACACGATGATCTTCCCTGTCAATAGCTCGAGCAATATCACTCCAAAAGAGTACACATCCCATTTTGAATTGGGCTTCAAGCTCCGAAGTGACTCTGGTGGCAAGTACGGCGACACTCCATTAATCGAGCTTGGACTTGGTCCAGTGACGAAATCTTGGAAGCTATCTCGAGATGCGGTAGACCGTTTACTCCCAAAATTTCGAGTTGAGCCACCAGGCTTGTAACTCGAGTCACCCAAGAAGAGCTTGTCGAGACCGAAATCGCCGATCTTGGGCTCCATATCGAAACCCAAAAGAATGTTGGTGGGCCTCAAGTTGCCATGGACATGCTTCTTGTCATGGAGATAAGAAAGGCCACGAGCTACTCCTTTGGCTATTCTCAATCGAGGCTCCCATGGAAGATGACAAGGCGACGAACCCACTTTCCCTATTAAAGTAAGAAAAAGGCACAACTTATGAGCTATACCGACAGAGCTCGTGAATTTTCCGGGAAGTGAAATCTTTGCCGCTAAGGACATAATTTAATGGTTGACTTCCCAAAGTGTCATTAAAAACAAACACTTTCAGTTATACCTACTCCACCGTCAACCATTTACTCAATCCAACGCCGTGAACGGCAAGCTTCTGAGCTCAAGAACTCAGAGTTCATCGGACATGGCGACAAGCTTGGAGCTGTTTTGAACCCACGAACTCAAAACAACAATACACAAACATAAAAAAACTTACTGTAACGAGCATTGGCAAGGCTTCCATTAGGAACAAAATCATAAATTATGAGCTTTTCATCGACGCCCCAATAGAACCCACGAACACGAACCAAATTTGGATGAACCAATTTAGCTACGACACGAATTTGATTCTCGAAATCTTTGAATTTTTCCACGCCGCCATCTCCGATTCTTCTCACGGCAAACGCCGTCCCGTTTTCCAGCACTGCTTTGTATGTTATGCTTGATCCGGTGGCGCCCAGGATGTACGCTGATGCTTTCAGCAGCGCCTCCAGTTCAAGCTCCTTCTCTCCGCCGTTTACCGTCACCAAAGTCCCCTTTCTGTTCCCGTCTCCTCCCTCCTCTGCCGTCTCACGGTGGCCGGGGATTGACACGGCACTCGCCTGATCGGAATTTCCCTCTTCTGGGTCCTCTGTTTTTCTTAAACAGGACCATCGGGAAACTCCTCTGGATTCCGATGAGGATGTGGAGAAGCTCTCTTTGGCCAAATTGGCTTCGTTTTTCAAATGGGTTTCGACGGATTTGTTTTTTTTCTTCAAGTGATAGACGTAGAAGAACAGGAGGAACAGAATTGCCAATCCGACAATATCTCCCAGTACAATGGCGACGATTGTTGAGGGTTTGAACCGAGTTTCGCTCTGTTTTTCCGGCGATGTCGTTTCTGGAGTACTTCGGTCTAGTGGAATGGCAGCGATCGCCGGCGGGAGAGACGCCGCCGAAGAAGGAATTGAACATGGGGTTGTCGTTAACTCGCCGCAGAGTTGGCGATTTCCGGTGAAGGATTTTGCTTCTTGGTTCATGAACACATCAGAAACTGGGACTTCTCCGGTGAGGTTATTGAAGGAGAGATCAATAGTGGCGTTGGCCGGAATATTATGAGCGAAATCCGGCGGGATTTTGCCGGAAAGTTTATTGTACGAGATGTTGAAATAACGTAAATTGTCGCCACCAAAATCAGACGGCAAAGCTCCATCAATCAAATTAGAAGACAGATCCAAAACCTCCACCGTCTTAAACCCACCGAGAATTTCACCGGAAATGTAATTGTTCTTCAAAGACACAACCGTAAGATTACCCAAATCCGCAAGATCACCCGGAAACTTCCCGACCAAAGCATTACCAGAGAGGTTAAGAACTTGCAGATTCCCAAGTCCACCCACCGCCGCCGGAACCTCACCGGAGATCAAATTCTCCGACAAATCAAGAAACCGGAGCATGGTAGCGTTAAACAGAGACCGGGGAAGAGACCCATTAAAGGAATTATTAGAAAGATCAACCGATTCAAGGTTTTGAATCAGACCCAGATCAGAAGAAACAGAGCCCATCAGCTGAGAATTCGGTAGAGACAAACCTGTAACTCTAGAGCCGCCACCACCACCGTCAGAGCATTGAACTCCCCGCCATGAACAGGGCGTCTCATCGGAGTAATTCCAGTTCTGAAGAACAAAAAGAGGGTCATCCAAAACGCCATACTTGAAGGAAAGCAAGAGAACCCCATCAAAATTCAGTCCATAGCAAGAAGATTGAAGAAGAAGAAAAGCAAGAACTGTGCAGCTCCAATGGCAGCTCATGATTCGATAGAATAAAAGAAAACCCACATCGCTAAGGAATCATAAAGAGCAAAAAATAGCAAAGAATTCAAAACCAATATGCTCTTACTTACTGGATCTCTGCAACCTATAAATTCCTGTTCTACGTTATATGCTCCTAATTAATCATTTTTTTTTAATCAAAATTATACCTAATTAATAATTTATTTATGAAAAAAAATTAAACTTTTATGATCCTCTTCACTCAGATTTAAGACCTGAGAATAGGCATCTTTTTGGTAAGTGACATACGAGAAACTCCAAAGTTTCAGACAGCCTCTCTCTCTCTCCTCTTTCTCTCTCTAGCTTTTGACTTGATCAAAAAATTAAATTAAATTAAATTCTGTAATATCTTTCAAAATCAGTAATTAATTAGTTTATTTACTTGATTATGAATCCGTACCGATTGGGTCAGAGAGAAACATGATCTGTTATTGATGATTGTGTGAAAAAAAATTAGAAATGACAAGACATAATGAAAATGTTCCCAATTCCTCCTTTCATTATGGCTCTCTTTTTTTTTTTTCTTTTTTTTTTTACTTTAGTAATAAAATATGTGGGGAGCAAAATTGTAAGGAGGAAGACATCAATAAATGTTGAAATAACTATGGATGTGTCGCGTTGGTTGGAGAGAATAGACTCTATGAAACACGAATGGAGAGACTATGATGTCATTTAAGTAGTCTGTTTCATTAATTATGATCTTAAATGTGAAAAATTAGTTTGAATTACCTAAGACAAGTATCGATATGGTTTCTTGTAGGAGTTGGAGACGAATGTGATGGAAATGTAGACACGAGTAGTTGCATGTAAGTTGATACAGGTGGAATATGATGTGAATGATGATAAATACGCCTCATTTTAGTTGAAAACTTTTTCGTGTTGGAAAAACTGGGCTGTTCAAAAACTCAATAACTCAACCCAAACCAACTCAACCAAACTTGTACGGTTTAGGTTCTTGTACGAGAATCCAAGAACCAACGAACCAACTCAAAAATTAATTTTTGGGTTTGGTTGGTTCTTGGGTTCTGGTACGACCCTTTAAAAAATAATTTTTAAATGTTTTACAAAACTAATGTTTTACTTATATTAAAAATAAAAATTTTCAACTCAATCCAACCCAAAAAATTATTCTCGAACTTTTAAGTTGGTTTTGAAAAATTTCACTATTAGATGATGATGAAAGTCCCCACATCCGCTAATTTAGGAAATGATCATGAGTTTATAATCAATGAATACTCTCTTGGTATGAGGCCTGTTGGGGAAGCCCAAAGCAAAGCCATGAGACTTTACGCTCAAAGTGAACAATGTCATACTATTGTGGAGAGTCGTATTCATCTAACATGATATCAGAGTTATGCCCTAAACTTAGTCATGTCAATAGATTGATAAATCCTCGTCGAGCCTCGATTAAGGGGAGCGTACTTTGTTTGAGAGGAGGAGTTAGATGATGAAAGTCCCACATGGGGAAGCATCTAAAGTGGACAATATCATACCATTATGGAGAGTCGTGTTCATCTAACAAATCCAACTCACGAACCCTTCTGAAAAACCGCTTATTATTATTTAATTTCAATAATAATATGAAAATAAAAAGAATTAGAGACATTGCATGTGTTCTAAAGAGGAACCATTGAAATGCTTGAGGATTCAAAATTATGATGTTTGTTTTATAGTAATGGCTAATTAATTCAATGAAGATAATGGAAAAAAAGCTTATTATTTAATTTCTTGGATAAACCCATCAATTATTTCAATAATATCCTTTTCATAAGTTTATTATTAATTAATTCATTAAAATTTAAATAACTTGCATCATGAGATATATTTTAATTTTAACAATAATTGGGTTTTCAAATAAGAACATAATGGGATTAATGGACCCAATAATGATTCAATTTTTTAAAAAAAAAAATCACCAAAAAGGGTTAAAAATGTAATGAAGATCAAATTGATAGTACTTTATATAATAAAGTAATCCATTACTTAAAAGAGGAATTTCCATCAAAGTTTCGAAAAGAAAAAATAAATAAATAATTTATTACGTAAGCATTGGATCCATGAAATTAGGTTTTATAATTCCATTTATAAACTATAGGCCCCATTCCCTTTTAATAAAATAGGCTAAATTTGCTATGTGGTCCCTATTGTTTTAGATAATTCTTAATCTAGTCCTTTCTCATTTAAATTATCAATATTTGACCCACATTAAATACTATGTCGTTGTTCATTTAAAATAATATTTTATTTCAAGAGTAGAAAATGTACGTTTAAACTTGATAAGTCGTATTAAATTTTATATTATAAGTTTTTGATTTCAGGATGTTATGATCTATGTTATAATCATAACGTTCAACTTGAAAAAAAAATGTAGAAATTTGTTTGAAAATTCATTAAACAAAAGTATCTTATATATGCTTTCAACGAATTATAAATCTCGATATATAACATAAAAGAGGTAAAATTTCATTAGAGCGAAGATTTTGTTGTGGTTTATGAGATTTGTTACTGCTATTTGTGTATAGAACTTAAGTTTGTTTTCTTCTTCTGAGTTCAACATGCATGAGTGGAGATTCGAACTTTAAATCTCTAAATCAACTGTTTAATTAATTGAGTTACGTCTAGATCGACAATTTATACCATCTGTTTTTTATATCGAAGACTAAATTATTCATTCATATATGGTAAAGTTGAATATAAAGTGAAGACTCAAATGAAGATACTAACATAGTACCAAACATCATGACCGAATATAAGTAGCATCAATTGCCCTATTTGCCTATATGCCTCAAATTCGAGTCGAATTCAAGACGATACTCATTCAATAAAAGAACATTTCGATGTTTGTACAAGACACGACGACGCCAAAAAGGAGAAAAAGAAAAGGGGAAAGGAGTGGTGGATGGTGAGGGCTATGGACGGTAGCGAAGGAGAGGGGACAAGAACTATGAATTTGAGTGCATGAGTTTGGGAAGAGAATATGATGGATTTGATGGACCAAACAGAGAGGGTGGCATTGGGTTTTCTCCTTTTTTGCTAAACTCCAAAACACAATGGTGGATTTGGCTTCAATTCCATTGGAGAATCTAGTCTTTTTTGGTTTTGATTGACAGTGGATTTGGTTCTCCCATCAACAAAACAACATATTCAGTTTTTTTTTTTTTTTTGTTTCATTTTCGAGAGAAATAGAACGGATGGTGGTTGATGCGATAATTTGACCGCAAGTTAATATTAGCTCGATTCGTGGTGAACAAGTAAATGCTTAGATTGAAATGGTGCTGAGTTGAGTTAAGATGGTATTTTATACCTCATTTGTTAGATGAGTCTCTTTTATTTATATACGTTTGGGTAGTACGATGAGATGGTCGAGCAATTGTCTCATTAAGATTAATATTTGGGTAGGTTAAGTAAGCGTTGGATAGAATTTGATATACATTATACTAGTTTCTTATCTTTTTGGTTTGGTAGCTAAATTGTGCCTACTTGGCTTAACTCAACCAAGCCAATTGATCTTAAACAAAGGGTTATCTTGCTTCGTTTCATAGTCATACTGATCCAAGACGTGTTGCCCATGATTCCATGCGCGTGACATGTCAAACTTCTTTTTATTTGCTTTCATGTTGTATTATTTTCTTATTTCATTTCTTTATTATATGACCGTTTGGCGAAATCATGTCTACTCCTGCTAGACTTTAATTGCCTCAAAATGTACTATAGAGAGATCAAGTATCATCAAACCTCAACTTTTGTAATTGCTCTTCCCTACATGTTTTTTAATGCAATTGACTTACGCCGTGCTTACTTTCAACTTGTTTTTAATGATTTTCCTCGCCTATGTTTTCTAAAATATTTTTTCTCGAAATGTGGCTCAAGGCTCAACAATACGTGCAAATTTTCTGCGAAGTTCGATTTTTACACGGTTGGCTTGTTCGTTGGGTTAGAACAAGTGTTGCACAATCGTTATTCTGCTACAAAAAAATAAGAAATAAAAAAGTGCAATTGTGACAAGTGGTATCAGAGCTCTGTTAGCTCCTTGACGCATCGAGATCGACACAATGTCGACGACGAAGTCAACACCTAAATCTTAAGTCGACTGACTTACCTTGATGGAAGAAGAAATGATTTTCTTGAAAGAAATGCCCAACATGATATGTTTCTTAGAAAACCGACTCGTAGGAGAGTATAGATACTACAAATGCCCGATTGGATGGGCTGCCGATCAAAGAATTGATATTCAAGGTCTACTCCATAAAAGAAAAAGTTTCCAGAATGAGTTGATCAGAATATGGAGGTAGCCTTGAAAGCTTTCTCGTACATATGGAGGAATATGTCGAATAGCTAGATGGTTCACAGAAGACCAAGCTGAAGTTGTTCAATGAATCAGCTAAAGACTTCATAACACATATTGATGACATCCAAGAAGAGATGGCCAAGATAAACACCCGAGTGAGTTTGACCATGCGGGCCGTACAGAATCACACCCCAGGCCAAGCTCAGGTCAAACTCAACAGACTAAAATTCTAGAAACCAATGCCTTGAGAACCGAAATGCCAAAGAATTGGAAAACTTTATCATTGATGTAGAACAAAACTTTAAAGCCATAGGAACTTGTGTCGAGGACCTAAAAGTTATACTTACTACAACGCATCTTGTGGACGATACAAAAATCTGGTGGTGATCGAAGGTGAATGATTTTCAAAGTGGTTCATACATCATCTCATGGGAAGACATCAAGAAAGAGATGATGAATCAATTCTTCCCTAAAAATGTCGTTTGTAACATGTTGAAAATTACAGAAACTGAGACACACAGAGGGAATACAAGACTATATCAAGCAGTTCTCTATGTTGATGTTGGATATCAAAGACATGTCCAAAGTATTTTGTTGAGTTTTTTCAAGGGATTGTAACCATGGGAGAGAAAAAAATCATATGAACAAAAGGTTCAAGATCCTACCGCTACTTTCACTACATTCACCGCCGTAGAAAGACTCCTAGATTTTGGTGGTGAAGCAATTTTCAAAAAGAAACAAGCTCCACTCCTACCCACAAAATCCCTCAATGGCCTCATCAAGGTGCACTTAGTGCCCTTTAATGTGCATTACAAGGGGGTGACGACCCGAAAAGCGAACAAATGATAGATAAAGAGGAAGATTACGA